CGTCTCGCTCGGACACGACTCGCGCGGCTCATTACCGGCTCTTTTTGCCGATATTTCTGATCGATTCAGGCCCTGGCCACGTTAGTCACCGTGCTGTGGGCCCGCCGAGATCTGTCGCACCGTCTGCGAAAACTTTGGGCTCGAGGACCACGCTCTCCAGAGGATGGTGGAGTAGAACGTTGGCCTAATCGATGCTAGCGGTCGAAGATATTTCGATGCCTTCGAAGCGTTACAGATTCCGAAAGGATAGGTGGAAAATGGTTTCGAATGTAGGTTCGTACGAGGAAAAGGGAAAAGATGTTGCGGTCTGTCCGGTTCGCTGGCGCGTCAAGAATGCTGGCCATCGTCGCGGAATATCTACGATTCCTCGTGTCCACGGTGCAGATCGGCCCTCGCTCGTCCGATACCCTCCGCTGCCGATCGAGGAATGCGGAGATGATTTAGCTTTGACTGGATTCGAGACGGAACGCTGTGCTGCTCGCGGGTCGCATAATCGAATGGGCTTTATGCGACCGTGATCTCGCGGTCCTCTGCCTCGTCGAGAGAGCTGGTTCCTCGGCGAGTTTAGCGTCAGGCCATTGCGCAAATCGGCTCTCGATTTCCCAGATATCGGAGGATCGAATCGATTTCCACTCGACCGTTCAAAGAAATTTCTTCGATTCGGGCCTCGAAACGTTTTCCCTCGGATACGCGACTCGCTCGCCGAGCGCGCGTAGCAACTCGGAGCTAGTCGAACGGCATGGTCGTCGCGTCGTTTCGCTTCGGTCGCAGAAGTTACGCGAGCAGGACAACAGTCGCGGCGAAACCTAAAATTACGTGTTAACCGCGGCCGAACCGAGGAAACGGGAACGAAATTGCAGCTATTGCAGCTATTACAGTGGCTAGCGCTTCTTGCGACGGCGGCGCGCCGTGACATTGACCGTGCCGCGATTTTCACGACGTTTCTTACGACGTCGACGTTACCTCCCAGCTTAAGAGAATTCGATCCAGTATCACCTTTGCGAACCCTTTGGACCCACGATCCTCGGGATTTTCAAGAACAATAGAGAACGGAGTGTCGGATCGACCGTTTGCGAAAGCGATTTCGTCAAGTTTCCTGCCGATTTCCGGCATTCCGGATGCCGGCTGTCTCGAGACCGATGAAATACGATCGGCACTAGATTAACACGGAGTTAACCGAGCATCCTTGCGGTCGTTGACAATGGCACCGACTGCCACCGAGACTGACTGATTTATTGCCGGAACTTTGTGGCCATAATTTATTTGCTAAATTATTGACCCAGCATGAATCGTCCTCGGACAAGCTCCGAAGACAGAGTCTCAACCCTTTAGCCCCCTTTAGTAATCCTCTGCGAACGGTCGGTGAAATGCTGCTCGTCGGATTTCGTCGTGCGCTCGTTCCAGGGGATAATTATCCGTTGCTGTCGTAGAAATCGTCGAAACAGCGTCACGCGATTTTGGCTTTCCCTTGACGGCAGAATTCCCCAGAAAATTTGCGTCGCAACACGGCCCGAGAAGGTTCCTTCCAGGTATTCGTAACGGAACTTGATTTCGTCATTCAGGATTCCGCGGTCGTTCGTACGCGCCAGGTTTATTTTTAGAGACGCGGTTACGGTCATCTTCTGGCCGCGACGTCACCTGCACAGGTGATTCCTTCTCGCGCCTACCCTTCCGAGTTCCCTGAAACCGTGGTTACCGAACGGCGGAGACGAGCCGAGCCCTCGATTCTCGACGATTCGTCCGTTCCGCGGGCTGCGATTAATTCGAGGCGAACGAGGCGGCGCGAAGTTCGTCGAAAAATTGCTGAAAAAGGAACGGGCCGAGAACGGATCGACGAGCAGGTTCTCCATAAACGATCCTGCATCGGAGACCGGGCGTTCTCAAAAGCGAGCAACGCGATCGACAGGCTGTAACCGATGCGAGTAGCCGATCATGCGATACTCGGATCGATTATCGACCGAATTGTGCGCGAATAAGCTTTCGATTCCGGCGATTCGCCGACAGTTTTTCCTCTCGGTCGAGCTGTCGCGAAACCGTGAAGATGGATTTTCCGGTGAAACCGATTCTCGAGAGTCGAGGCGCGAGGATGTTGGGCGGTTTTGGAAATCGATCGCGCGGTCCCTTTTCCCCGAGTCGGTCGAGATAGATCCACGGGGGAAGCTTTCCCACAAGGTGTGTCTATGGGATATGGAACAGAAATATCGAATATACGGTAAGGTGCTACTGAACGGCGCAGGATACCTTCGGTAGGATATCTCGAGCCACCTGTCCCTCACTCCCACGCTCTCCTATGCGATGGACTCGAGCGGCGAATGCACGGACGGATGGATGGATAGCTCCTAATGCCGGGACCTACGGGGATCTCGAATCTCGAGCGAGGGGACCGAAAAATAGATCCAGTCCCCTCCTCTGCCCGCCCCTCTCACCTGCGCCTTTTCTTTTCCATTACTCTAGGACAAAGGTCGAAGCTCTGCGGCAGCAGGAAGGAAGTCGCTTCTTCTCGAAAAGGAATCGATTGAATTTCGATCGGGATACACCTTTCCGAAGCTTCGACGACGCTCGCGAACCGTGTGAATCTCTTCCTCGAATTTTCTACCTATTATTATTCTAGCTATTACCGGATGCATCCATCGAGTTGTCGCATAGTAGACATTTATTCTTTGGTTTCGTCGTTGACAAGCTGCTAACTAAGAATCTCTTAATTCTCTGTCTACTTTGCTCGGTTGCGACGATCTTCGATCATTTTTCATCGGAGACGAGAACAGAACGAAGATGAAAGACCCGAGAGATCATCGCGTTGTCCCGCTGTCCGGGCAACACACAGGGGTCAGCGGGACATCCAACTTGTTCAAGGTGCAAGCTAAAATATCGGATGACTTCTTTGTGCCGGCAAATATTTGTTAGCCGATAGTGCTCCGAGGCCGGAAGCGAACGCCGCCCCGAGAGCCTTTCTTCGTTGGTTAGAACAGATTTCGTTTACCACGGAAACTACCGCGAAACCGGAGAATCGACGAATTATCCCGTAACCTGGGAAAGTCTCGCGCTCGAGGGCATTGTCTCTCGATCCCGGTCCTGGTATCCAAGGTCAACGAAATTCTAAAACGCCCGTCTTCGCTCACGGAACCGTTCGAACGCGAAGCGGGGTCTGCTCGTACTTACAATTTCTCATTATGCTGATCCCTGTCCGACCATTCGCCGGGATTCATCATCGGGGACGTTAATGCTTCTGCGAAACAAAAGTGTACGAATATAGTAGGGATTACTGAAAATTTACTGCAGGTTGTAAAGTCTAGTTAAAGTCTGTTCGTCAGTTTCCGTGGCCAGACATCGGGAACGGAGAGGCGGAACGGACCGCGACGAGGACAATAAAGGCTGTAAATAACGACCGTTCCAATTTTCGGACGTTTCTTTCAGGTAAACGCATACCTGTGTCGTGTCCCCTACAATCTTCGCAGTTGCAATCGCAGTCGCAGTCGCGTATATACTGTGTATTTTTAGTGGGAACCCTGCAACGGGGCGCCCACAGTCAGACTCGAAAGCTAACAACAGCATTTTTAAGCCTTGCCTACTATCCCTAACGGAATCGGCGGTTTTTTTCTGACAGTGTTCCCCGGTCGCCGGGAAATCTTGCCGAAAACCCTTTTTTTTTGCTGAATTTTACGGCGATCTTTTTACAGCGTTTTTCAATGGCCGGCGTTTATTGCCGCACACCCATGGCTGCTTCCATTCGTTCCAAAGTTTCGCGAATTTACGAAACGGTCTTTCACCTCTCCGATCGCCGTCCTCTGTTCGCGCGTTCAACCGTTTATGGCACTCTTTAAGCCAACGACCGCCGAGTCAATTTTTATAAACATTTTTTATTCGCGCTTCTTTTGCAGTCGTGCGCGCGTTTTTGTTGAAATCACAAGTCAAGGGAGCTCGGCGAGATTCGTATTTGACAGAAGCGTTATTACCGGTTGATGATGGTAACGAGCGTCGATAGGATCTGCACCGCGAAACAGCAGAACGCGAACGATTATTACATAGATCCGAGATTCACGCCCCGTTAATCGTCTTAGCCTAGCCTGTAGCCGAGTCTAGCCCATTAACGACGCGCCGAAATAGGTCTCGTCCTAGCCAGCAATTATTCCCGCCACAGTAGGCAACTCGTTATCGCGAATACAGAATCTATTCCGGTGCTGTAGCTGTTCGTCGATCGGAATGTGTCTAGGAGCTAGGAATATCGGTCGAGCAAACCGCCTCGCTGTTCCACGCTCGAGACAACGAGCGATCAATTTTCGAGACTTCGACGACCGCGGAGGCGCGATCCTCTCCGCGATAGCGTACCTAGGCGTATACGTAACTAGGCGAAAAAGCGACCAAATTTTTGGCTGCGCTGTCGCCGTTAATTCGGCCCATCGACGTCGCGCCGGCCGAACAGGTCGTATACATTCGTCATGTTCCATTAACCTTCACCTTTTTCTTATCGTTCCCTTTTTTTCGCCGAGTGTTTCTATTTCCTCGAAAACCGCAGGACATCTCGCAACGGATGAAACAAAAAAGTGACTTCGATTATCGGATATTTAACTTTTGGTTTCCGCGTCGCGAAAAAACTTGTCCTCGGTAATCCGACATGAGTCCGAACGATAGAAAAACCATCGGAAGAAGCATCGACCGCGCGGCGATGCCAGGCTCGAACCACAAGTCGAAAGCAGTCCGGAAGAAAACAAATTTGACTCTGCGCGCTGCACGGAGGATTAGCTCTCGAGGCGGCAATTATGTCTTAGCACAATTTACGACGTGTTTTCGAAGGGTTAAACCGGCGGGTCTCTGAATTACGGTTTCAAATCCGCAACCCTACTTACCATTCGGTCCCATCCCCCACATTTTTTGTCACCGAGCTCGAGGATTAGCTGGAGCCCCGGTGACGGCCAATATTTTCTGTAAACATCTGAAAAACCCTCGGCTCGTTCGCGCCAGCAAGTGCGTTCGTAAATACTTACTCGCAGGACAGACCCGATGCCGATTAGTAGTGTCGAAGACACGGCAGAGGAACATTGTTCCGGCACTTGGCATTCTCGCGCGGTTGAATCGGTTTACTCGTCTTCGATCGGTTTACTCGTCTTCGATCGATCTCTTCGGATAAATTCTCACGTAACCGTATCAACTTCCTCTTTTTTTCGAACCGTGAGGGGAAGAAAGAGTGGGATAAATTTTCGTTTTCGCGCGAGGGTAGGGATTTATGGTGTCTTTGGAAATTCAAATAACCAGACTTTCCGAGTTGCGCCGTCAGTGTCGTGCCGGTAAACGAAGCAAAGGGTAGTGTCGATGATCGCGCCCTTAACGACGGTCGAGTTTGCAGAATGCTGCAAGGGTTATCTCGGGACCATTCCATAGACAACCGAGCGCGCAGAAGAACCGTTTCAACCCGAGCCGCTGAACCCTCCAACCCTTTCGCCGGATTTCAGAAGCCGGCGACATTGTATCGGAGGTGAGTGACCAATTAACTTTATATTACTCGACCCTCGTCCCTCCGTGTTGCGTCGCTTCAACATTTTTACAACTTATATCGAACAGGGTGTCCAAAGTTCTCGGTCGAAAAAGAAAGATCGCGTCGTCGCGGTCGAAAAAGTATAAATCAAAAGATTCGAGATTCGCAGCGAAGCGTTAAATCGCTATCGGAACTCTTCGATTCGACGAGAAAGTATACCATTTACGCGGAATTTATCTATCGCGAGGCGATGCTATTCGCGCATATTCTGTGCTCGAACGAAAACTGGTCGTCGCGTATTTTCGCCGGGATGCAATCAACCGCGAACGCTTATTGCGGATATGAGACGGCCGACGCGACGGCATAATAATTAGCGGTTAATGCACCGTGGATGCCGGCCCGGCCGGCGCTGTCATTTGTCCCATTAGGCGGTAAATTGCGACGCGCGTATTTTACTACGAAAACGTAATTACAAGGGCTGCCCCGGAACAGATAGCACAGTTCCATCCCGCTAATGGTCTCGGCAATTTCGAACCGCTACACACCCCCCTCCCCTTGCACCGTCGATCGCACGTGCTCCATCAACGATGTAATCGTAACAACGAGCGAAGCTCTTCTCGATGAAATTCTTTCGATATAGAAAAATTTCGATAAATTCTTTCGATATAACAAAATACTGTCCGAGCGATAACCGAATTCTTGAACGTTAAATCTTTCTGCTGTCCAACATCGAGTCTCGGTGGCAGCGCGTCGGGTTGACGTAACAAGTGGAACCGCAAAATGGAGCGGAGAAAAATCGAGAGAGGACCGACGGCAGGCCTTGAAGAGTGAAAAAGAAAGAGAGAGAGATATATATGTTGCGATGCCGGCACAGAATGCGTGTATCCTTGATAGTTGCCGCTCGTTGGTCGTCCTGCGGAGGCCGGTTCACTGACACCGCGGGTACCGTCAACGAGTCCCCGACACTGTCAAGGTCCGCCGCTCCGCTCCGCTCGGCTCCGCGCCGGTTCTCCTGAATGGCGTCGCTCTGTCACGCGATTTGCCTACGGTAATCGACACGCCTCGCCGCGAACCACTCGGTCCTCTCCTCTCCTCTCTTCTCTTCTATTCTCCGCGGCACTCGTCTTCTGCCGGTCTCGAGTCGGTTCGTCGCATCGTTCGCGTTCGAAAATTTCGCGGTTGTCTATGGAACCGATCCCAAAGATTTCCAGGGAGGAAGAGATCTTGTTCGGAGGTGGGGCCCGGAGACCGTTCGAGGACTCGCGGACGAACGTTCGGTTCAGGCGTCGCGTCGTTACGCCGGTGTTAATTATCGAACGCTAATTGCTAGCCGGCCGCGTCACCGACGTGCCCGGAACACACCTCCGTAATCTCACGACCGTCTGTCCGACGGTACGCTCGTCCCCGGTACTCCTCGATCCCCGATATTCATTAGCCGATGACATTTCTCCGGGACTTTGCATACCGGTCGCGCGGCCACGGTCTATTCGACGGGTTTCTATAGATTATGTCCCGTCGACTAATCGTAAAACGCGAGAAAAAATTGCCGCGATACCATTAGATCGAATCGCTGTTATTATCGTTAATTTATTATACGCGAGGGGATCTCGGGGAACGATAGAAAAAAAAGAAGGATTAGGCAGGAATGCCGACGCGTCGACGTCGAAGGCAATTTTCTTAACTGCCACTGGAAATTTCGAAGCAACAGACGCGAGAGAGGATCCCGTCGTCGGACCGTGAGTTAAAAGGTACGTTCCGAGAGAGCGCGATCGCCCATCTGGACGGAACATATGTCGGCTGGACCATCCGGGAACAGAAAACGGCCAGGCAATTTATAGCCCGGAAATCAAAGGTTTCAAGGCCAGTTTTTTTTTTCTTCGGCCAGGTACTTGGTCGCGGGGTCCCATGGGGTCCGGTCCCGGGTCTGGTCGGATGAATTCTTTCCATTTTTTTCTGGCTTTTCTATCTTCGAGCTCGTCTGCTCCGCTATCTATCTCGTCTAATTAGCCTCGGTCAGCGGGCGAAACGCCTAGCTTCCGAAAGATTCTTCTTGGTTCTTTTCTCAGCGCGCGCGCGCGCGAAGCAACCCTCCGAGATTGAAATTTTTTGTTGCTTTCCCCTGCTATCTTGGGACGCCGGATTGGGTATCCGGCGGGGACCCTGCACGAATTCTTTCGATAAAGGAAAAAGAGAAAAGGCGGAGCTCGCGAAGAATAAAGGCAACGAGGAGAGCGAGCTCGGTCACGTAGACGTAAGAATTGCGTCATCGGGGAAGTGTACGTGGACTGGAAGGGAGATAAGGATCGAAGGAACTCTCGTCACGGCGTAGATCTGCCTCGCAGAAGCGGAGAAAAAGGGAAAAAGGAGATTGCGAGAGAGGGAGAGAAAGACTGAGAGAGAGAGAGAGAGAGAGAAGGGGGGAGGGAGAGGGAGAGAGCTGGGACGGAAGGGAAAGACAAGTATCGGTCGGCGAGCATGCATGCTCGTAAGAAGATCGATTCTCGAGCGATCGGCCGAGTGCGTGGGGACCGTTCACTCGTTCACTCGTTGACTCACTGACTCTTGACGGACTTACCGTTAACCAGCAAAAGTGAACCGAGCGAAGTCGTGTCTCTGGAGCTTGCGGTATACGTACACCGATTGTGCGGAGCCGCGCCGTTACGTGTGGGACGATTCGGCCATTGTCGCCGAATCGACACCGAATCGACACCGAAGGGCCCCGAAGAAAGTGCGAGCGACGATTCGACGCAATCCGATCCGTCGTCCGACCGGTCTTTAAACCGTGACGCGACTTTTACCGATCCCGCAATACCGATCGTGTAATACTTTTCGCGGAAGCATCTTCGCGAGGCCGCCTCGATTCTTCGAAAACGAACGTTTCTGTCCGCTGCGAAAGAAATCGCTGTACGGACCTCGAAGCAATCCGGCACACATTTTTAAGCCTAATTTCTTCGAAATTAATCTTAATATTTATCGCCTTATGACTACTCGGCTGTACCGTCGATCAATTTTTCTATCATTCGCGAACTCGCACCCGTTAATTAATAGCGATAATAATAATAACAGCGATAGTTGGCGATGCTAAAATCAATTTGGGTCTTTGTCGCTCTGATCGAGCAAGCAAGAGAGGCTCGGGGTAATAGCAGGAGAGATGAAAAGAAGAGCGAGCGACGCGACCGCCGCAACAAGTCGCCGCGACGCGCGTCGCGTCGACGCGACCGCGAGATAACTGTATTCTGCCTCCACTATATGTTTTGTCCTTTCTCTCGTCCTCCCTTCCTCTTCTTCCTCTCTTCCTTCGTGTCCTTTCGCGCTTCCTCTCTCCACCTCGCATCCTTGCTCTCCTGACAATGAGAAGAGAGGATGCCTCGACTTCTCATGCGGCAACGAGTTCGTCGCTCGTTTTTGCCGTTTTCGTTTTGCTCGTACCGTATCTTAAGCGGAATAATCTCGTTTGACGTCGCACCGTCGAATCGATCGCGGAATCGCGGCGATGAAAAATCCGAACCGAGAGGAAAGAAAAACAGCGTCGACGTAGGGCATTCGAAATCGAATGCAAGCTCGCGAATGGTCATTTGAAATTGTCTCGTTTTCGAGTAGGTTGTTTACCTCGAACAGGAGAATAGGGAATCGACGCTCGTCTCGTCTCGTCGGACGAATAATCGAGGCGTCAGACGCTCGCGTTCCTTACGCAACACCGAAACATTTCGTTCTCCGCTCGCATACTCGATAGCGCGGCTCCTCGCTGCCGCGTACGGCATATACCACCGAATTGTATATGTGCCAAGGATTATCCCAGGGTTTACTGGCCGATGTTACAATACTCGGGCCACGAATTTATTTGGTATCGGCCCGGTATTGGCCAAGCCGTTTATGAAACATCCGAGCAGCAGATGTAACAAAGAGATCTCGTTCGCTTTCCGAACCGGTTGTGTCACGCGCTACAGGGACTCGCCGATTTTATGGTTTCGTGGCGTTCGCGAACGCGCCCGGCCGTAGGAAACTTCGAAGTTCTCGAAAACTGCACAATTAGTCGCGAAAACGTGCAGATTCCGTAACAGCTCGCAGCGAAGAATAACGTAACCGAAACGATGTTCGCGAGTAACATTAAATAAGATCGCGGCTTCGGTTAGCTCGGGGCGTTCCATTCGCGGAATGTCGTCTCCTGGATTCGTTTTGCACCGACCGCAAGACGAGAACGAGGCGGCGAAACACCGGAGAGCGCGACTCGGTGCGCGCGATGCAAGCCGAATATTTCTTTGGAACAAGAGAGAGAGAGAGAGAGAGAGAGAGAGAGAGAGAGAGGCGTTCGGGATAGCGACGCGACAAGATGCCGCTCGGGGAAACGTAATCGAGCGAACGTGTATCGCGGAATAAATCGGGACCGAGGAGCGAGTAACCGGACACCGTCTGGCCGGCGAGAAATTAACGGCTAGCTACGTAAACGATACGACTCGCAGATGAGAGAGTCCGCCGTTTTCCATTTCACCCGGCCGGCCGCGAACATAGCGAGCATAGGTGAGCCAAAACGAGCAGACCGAGCAGACCAGAATCTCCCTCCGGGTTATTCACTTTTCACCTCGGCCAACGAGCGCGTGTGACCCGCATCGGCTATCCCTGTATCACCCGCTAGAACCCGCACTCGAGGCTCTTTCGGCGTCGGCGTCGGCGTCGCAGTCGTCGCAATCGCNTTTCTTCGAAATTAATCTTAATATTTATCGCCTTATGACTACTCGGCTGTACCGTCGATCAATTTTTCTATCATTCGCGAACTCGCACCCGTTAATTAATAGCGATAATAATAATAACAGCGATAGTTGGCGATGCTAAAATCAATTTGGGTCTTTGTCGCTCTGATCGAGCAAGCAAGAGAGGCTCGGGGTAATAGCAGGAGAGATGAAAAGAAGAGCGAGCGACGCGACCGCCGCAACAAGTCGCCGCGACGCGCGTCGCGTCGACGCGACCGCGAGATAACTGTATTCTGCCTCCACTATATGTTTTGTCCTTTCTCTCGTCCTCCCTTCCTCTTCTTCCTCTCTTCCTTCGTGTCCTTTCGCGCTTCCTCTCTCCACCTCGCATCCTTGCTCTCCTGACAATGAGAAGAGAGGATGCCTCGACTTCTCATGCGGCAACGAGTTCGTCGCTCGTTTTTGCCGTTTTCGTTTTGCTCGTACCGTATCTTAAGCGGAATAATCTCGTTTGACGTCGCACCGTCGAATCGATCGCGGAATCGCGGCGATGAAAAATCCGAACCGAGAGGAAAGAAAAACAGCGTCGACGTAGGGCATTCGAAATCGAATGCAAGCTCGCGAATGGTCATTTGAAATTGTCTCGTTTTCGAGTAGGTTGTTTACCTCGAACAGGAGAATAGGGAATCGACGCTCGTCTCGTCTCGTCGGACGAATAATCGAGGCGTCAGACGCTCGCGTTCCTTACGCAACACCGAAACATTTCGTTCTCCGCTCGCATACTCGATAGCGCGGCTCCTCGCTGCCGCGTACGGCATATACCACCGAATTGTATATGTGCCAAGGATTATCCCAGGGTTTACTGGCCGATGTTACAATACTCGGGCCACGAATTTATTTGGTATCGGCCCGGTATTGGCCAAGCCGTTTATGAAACATCCGAGCAGCAGATGTAACAAAGAGATCTCGTTCGCTTTCCGAACCGGTTGTGTCACGCGCTACAGGGACTCGCCGATTTTATGGTTTCGTGGCGTTCGCGAACGCGCCCGGCCGTAGGAAACTTCGAAGTTCTCGAAAACTGCACAATTAGTCGCGAAAACGTGCAGATTCCGTAACAGCTCGCAGCGAAGAATAACGTAACCGAAACGATGTTCGCGAGTAACATTAAATAAGATCGCGGCTTCGGTTAGCTCGGGGCGTTCCATTCGCGGAATGTCGTCTCCTGGATTCGTTTTGCACCGACCGCAAGACGAGAACGAGGCGGCGAAACACCGGAGAGCGCGACTCGGTGCGCGCGATGCAAGCCGAATATTTCTTTGGAACAAGAGAGAGAGAGAGAGAGAGAGAGAGAGAGAGAGAGAGGCGTTCGGGATAGCGACGCGACAAGATGCCGCTCGGGGAAACGTAATCGAGCGAACGTGTATCGCGGAATAAATCGGGACCGAGGAGCGAGTAACCGGACACCGTCTGGCCGGCGAGAAATTAACGGCTAGCTACGTAAACGATACGACTCGCAGATGAGAGAGTCCGCCGTTTTCCATTTCACCCGGCCGGCCGCGAACATAGCGAGCATAGGTGAGCCAAAACGAGCAGACCGAGCAGACCAGAATCTCCCTCCGGGTTATTCACTTTTCACCTCGGCCAACGAGCGCGTGTGACCCGCATCGGCTATCCCTGTATCACCCGCTAGAACCCGCACTCGAGGCTCTTTCGGCGTCGGCGTCGGCGTCGCAGTCGTCGCAATCGCGACTCGTTATAGTCGATGTCGCGTCGATCCCTCGATAAAACGCCGTCGTCCAACCGTGACGGACGTATCGACGAAAATATTTCCCGGTGACGAGAAATTTCCGCCAAGACTGGCTCTTGCCTCTTGTTTCTCGCTCGTCCGAGAGTTCTGGAGCGGCGCGAAACTTCAAGGTCGCGTCCGCAGTTTCGTAAGTAGGCTTCATTCGTTATTCGGGCAGATCGCAATCGGCTCCACGGAATTACAATGTTCGGGCCGGAAGAGCAGATTTCACGGCCCTTGCTCCCTACCCTTTCGTTTTTAAACACGTAATTCGTTCGCGTGACGATCGAAAGGGGCATCATAAATCGTAGCTGCAATTATCGCGCCTATCCGTGTTCGTTCGGAAAAAGAACGATCTCGAACGATTTAATAAACATTTATCGCGCCCGCTACAAGATCATTGCCGTTAAAGGCCAAGAAAAAGCATTAAATTTCCTTACGGATCGCGGACTTGCACAAGTTCTATCGGGGATACGCAATCCGGTGATTAGAACGGATGGAACGGCGCCGCGTTCTCTCTAATCGTTTCGCGTCTGTCCTGAGTCGATCTCGATTTGCATCCTAAGCCGCGCGCGACGGGAGCAACTAGTTGCTCGCAACAGGATCCGACGGTGAGGTCAGCAAAAGTTGTAGTGGTGCGATTAAAGTCCAACAAACCAAACTCGAACGACCCAATTTCCGGATACTAACCCTTTCCTTCTCTGGGGAGAGAGAGGGGAGAGCGATGACGCAACCTGGCCGAGTCCACCGTGCTTCCTCGGGCCCCGCTTACGGGCCTCGCTTACGGGCCTCGCTTACGGGCCCCGCTTACGGGCCTCGCTCTCGGGCCCCACGAGGATGTCGAGTAGTCCCGAGTCCTCGCCAGGAAGAGTGACTCACGAGGCCATCGAGCACGCAATTTTGTAGAAATCTTTTCCAGCAATCCTTTCCATAGGTTTTTTAAGTTTACGAGATGCTTCGAGCAACGCGATCCGCGATAGATCCCGGTGCATTGGGCGAAAAACCGATCGACCTCCTTTTCGATGTTGCATCGCGATCGGGAAACTTGTGAATAGTCTTCCGGTGGCCGGAGCGTCGAGCAGAATAGTCGTCGAGCAAAATAGTCGTCGAGCAATTAACATCTCGCAAAAAGCTTCGCTTCCGTAGCGTTCCTTCGCGATCGTCGCTTGGTAGGCCGCGTCGACCAATGGAAGAGCATCGCTGTATAACGCAGAATTATATCTCGTCGCATGTCGAAGACGTTTGCCTCGTTGTTGATGTCATTGTCGCTGCTAATTTCGATAGAGGCGTCGACGATTCGTGATCCAGTCTCGAGAGGGTTATTCGGGGGGACATCGACGCTGGCGAGCATCGGCAACGACAACAGCAGGAGGCAGAAGGCTCAAAGGATAGGCGGTAGGAGGCAGCAGAAGGCGCATGAAACGGACACAAGGTAAGAATGCGTGTTGAGCAGGCTACACGGGCCGTGCGAGGCTGAGAGTGGGTTCATCGGACGCCAGCGGCCGCGGATTTACCGTTAGCTCTTCTTGGCGAAACCCAGAGTCCACGCTGCCTCTTGCTTCTTTATTCCCCTTATTCCTCCGCCTTCGCCTGGCCTTCCTCTCTCCTGCCCTCTCTCTTCTCGCTCTCCGAGCCTCTCTCCTTTGCTCGTCTCGCCGCTTCTCTCTCTCTCTCTTTCTCAGCTTGCCCTTGTGTTTCTGCCACTGAATTCCAGCAGCCTTCGCGGCGAAGGCAGCGGCGCGCGGCGTTCTCGGCCAGAACCGGAAACGCAAATGTCTCCCGGTCGAAGAGGCAACTTACGAGGTTCGCTGATTTTCCGGGTCACGGAACCAGTCGGGTTCGCCGGGACCGGAGCATTCCGCGAGTTTCTCGACGCGGCTGGAACTTTTCGCCGAGCACGGTGGTGCCTCCGATATCCGTCCGATCGCGAGACCCGTCGCGTTTCTAAGGGTTAAAGGATTAAAGCAGCGAGGAATTTCCGACTGTCGCGTTCGAATCGGAGCGAACAACTTTCTGGGAACGAAACGAAAGACGGGGAAAAAGAGACGAGTCGACTCGGTTTTCTCGGTGAACGGGTTAAAGATCGAGGGAAGCCTCCGACTCGAAAGATTCGAAGGTCTGGGAGATAACGTCGAGGAAAGCCTCGAGTTTTGGGAATCTCGGAGGTCGTTGCCCTTGCGTTTGGTTTTCGCGAACGCGGAATATACCCGTGCCGTTGAATTTCGTCGCGTCGGCGTTGTTTGTCGGTGTCGAGCGAACGTGTCCGTTCGTTGCTGGCCGTTTCTACTTGCCGCGAATTTAGACGCGAACGCGGTCGATTCGGATCGTCGGTTGAGGAATGCATATTGTTTTTTTTGGAAGAAATCGTTCGCGAAAGAAATGAAATTCGATGTCAACTCGTTGGAATGTTATCTATGAAAGCGCTTATTCGCATAAATCGTCTATTTATAACCGATCTGTTCGCTGCGAATCGTTATGCAAATTCGTGTTTTCAAGGACTGCTTCGTAGAAGGTGGAAGTACATAGATAGGAGTCTGTCCTCTCATTCGCTCTCTCTCTTTCTCGTTCGCGTTCATCGAAATCTTTATCTCGCGAGACGTTCTCGAGACTAACCCAATTTATCGATTACCGGACCGATCGAGTTCGACTCTCGATCGTCGTTACGCTTTCAGCGAGGAGAACGAGAATTCGAACGACCGTTTTAGGCGATCGAAGATCGGCGCCCCGAACGATCGGATCGAGAGGTTACGTCAGGCTTGGCAAATATTCATTTCGCGCGTGTCGAGAGTCGAGGAAACGTTGCTTCCTGGAACGATGATGAATGTCCACGAGTATCGCGGGGAACGCACGCTCGAGTTCGACGCATCGGATGAAAACGCACGTTTATCCGTCATTGAATCGAATCGCTTTCGAGTTGTTTCATAATGAGTCACGGTACATATTTTTTAATTTTTAACGCGATTCGCCGTTCGTTGCGAAGGAAACGCGAACGCAAGTTCGAAAGATTTTACGGCGATTCATCGTGGACGTAGCAGCCGACGAATATCCGCGATGTTCGTCGGCTGGGCCGAGGATGTGGGTGACGAGAGACCGGGCAAGGGTTAGCGAGATAAGACTTCAAAGTAGTTGGCAAGGGGACAGGATCCGTTGCTCGATTACAACCGCGGCAGGCGCATCGGGATTGTTTCTCTTCGGTAAACAAATTCCGTCGCGTGCCATTCGACGGACCTCGAACTCGAGCTCGTCGAGGCTCGATGTTTTTCTCGACGCGAGGCAAACGCCAGCTGTGCGCAGGTGGCCCCCCAGCCTTCTACTTTACTTTCTTCGCGGGTTCCGTTAAATACCCGACACCGAACGCGATCGCAAATCCAGGTGCGGAGGTCAACTTGCGTCAGGTTAGGGTTCTGTGCGCGTTTCTCCCGCTACTCCTCGCTTCTCTCTCTCTCTCTATCTCTCTTTCACTCTCTTTTTCTCTCTTTTTCTCGGCGTGTTCCCTTCTGTCACGCACGCTTCATGCACGCTCGCGCTCGTGTACACACGAGGAAAGACGCGCAGGTGTGCGGCTGCTCGGAGTCCGGGTCCGCTCCTCCTCGTCGCTTCTTCTCTTCGACAACTCGAACGAAACGTTTCGCCAGCAGCTCCGGCTTCTGCATCGCTTGTTCCTTGTTCCACGTTGCTCGTTGCCGCGCGGATCGACACCTCGACATCTCGAAGAACCGTTTCTCGCGCGCTCGACACCGCGCGCTCTGCTCGAGAGTGAAACCAGTCGTTCCGATTTCGATCGGACTTTCCTAAGATGTCAGAGCGAGCCTCTGCGCGAGCCTCCTTTCATTTTTATCATCGTTGCTCGCGTTACGGTCCTCTTCCGACGAGAAACCGTCGCCCCCTCGACTCGCGTCGATCCGGAACCGACGTCCACTTGCTTTCGCGACGGTTTAGATTTTTCCTGTTATCTCCGCGTTACCCCGAAGTTCAGAATTCGAGTAGAAAGAATGAAAATGGAAAGGATGGAAGAAGAAAGGTTCGCGGTTCTCTCGGAGCGTGTCGGCGCCGAGGCGCGAGCCCGCATAGTTTCCCGTTCCGCGAAGACGAGGCGCAAATAAAACGCGGCCCGGGAACGCGTTGTAAATCTTGGACGATGGCAGCTGGGGATCGCGGCTCGAAAGACCGACGACGAGGCATCGCGAGAACCGTTGCGAGGGAAGCGGGCTCCGACTGCAAAAAGGCGGCCCGCGAAAAAATGATCGAGGGAAGACGACTTTTACGATCGAGAGCAACGGTAAGGCGGCAAAGGCGGACGATCGCGCGCGCTATCATGCTGGTACCCACTTCTAGGCGACTTCCTAGCCCATCGTTTCATGCTGGCTCCCGAGAGACCCGGATAGGGCCCGATAACTCGATCGATCCTAGGAAACGGGTCACCAGATGCTTCGCTTCCGGTCGACTTTGCATTTCCTACCTACCTTCGGATTTGCTAATCGGCTACCGGGTTGTGCAATAAGGTCGCTGAAGTTACTCTCGAATCGCCGTTTATTTCATAGGCCAAAGGACTCGAACTCGCGATTTCTTGTTCGCGATGGAAGTGTTCGTCGGTAGCGTTAACCACGTCTGCACGTTTCTTTTGCTGGGAGGAAGGGAACAGACGGGGGGAGACAGAAGGAACAATGCGAGTCGGCGTAGGAACGGTAATCATTTTTCCGGAGACAGGAAAATCGTTTTGGAGACGGAAAGGAGAAGGTGGAGGCTCACGGTCATGGGAAGAGACCATTAGAGGCACTTCCTCCGTGGAAGCGAGAGGCGAGGCGAGGCGCGAGAGCAGGGGAGAGGAGCGAACCCGGCGAGGAGAGGAGAGAAGAGGAGAGGAGAGGAGAGTGTTGCAACTCGGGGTTCGTGGCAACCGGAGAAGGGTTCTGCTTGCGTGTTCGAGCGGAGGAGAGCAGGTAACAGCGTTCCCGTGTTACCGGTCCGCGGCCACTGTAATTTATTTAATGTAAGCGGCACATCGTCGTATTCTCAGAGGCGCATACCTCGCGCCCGTACCTGTGCACGCACCTCCATTACGCTCGCTACCGGCCCGGTCGCCTCTGTACCCGTCTCCGTCTTTGTCTCCGTCTTCGTCTCCTGCCCGTCCAGCACCCGCTCCGCGTCCTTCTGCCGCGAGCCTGCCCCGTTTCAAAGCCGAGCGCAATCCTTTTGATAAACGCGCTGCGCCGAGCTCGCTTCGAGCCGAATCCATCATTTCGCGCCACCTTGGTCGGCCATTTTATTCGAAACGAACCGGGACGCGGCACGAATCGAATCGCAGATTGCGCACAGCCATTGAATTATTGCGTTTGCCGGCCGCGTCGTCGCCCCGAAATTCCGCAACTACGAAGCAGGTTCAGGAATTATTTCGGACCAAGGATCGTATATCTTGCATCATCGAAAGAAAGCGCCCGATCGAACGGGTTGTCCAGCGTCCAGCTACAGTAATGTCTCTCCAATTGACGCTCGGATGATCCAGAAAAATGGACAATTTGGGAAGAGAATATACGATTATTCGAGCCTTATAGCTCGTTTTTTATAGTTACGAATTGTCAAGATTATGTCAAGGTAACGCAAGGCTCGAATAATCGTATCTCCTCTTCCCAAATTGTCCATTTTTGTGGACAATCCGAGCGTCGCTTAGAGAGACATTACTGACCGCGACAGAGACCGTAAGTAGAATCAGCCGGCAACGATCGGACGGAGCTAGCTTCCCTTTCGATCGCCGAAGTCGAATTCTTCTGCTACCTCGACGCTTCCGGTTCCCATGGCGTGGCAACGATCGACGAGAGATCCGACAAATAATTTCCAGGAGAAAAGCACGTTCGCGGTTTGCTTGGCTCGGTTGGCTCGGCGCGCGTGACAAATGCTGGACAGCTGGGAACGTTAGCGGAGATTCATTGGCGTCGCGGCGCGAATCATTTCTACCTTTCAAAGCCGCCCCTCGGGAAAGTATCGGGTTCCCAGAAATTTGCATGCGCGGGCGGCCGCTCGTATCCCTGACAAAGTCACCAGAAAAAGGCGAACCGGAGAAACGTAACCGGCGAGTCCTGCCGCGCGATATGCGCCACTGAATCCTCGGCCCTTCTCCTTTTCCCACTCGGAGCTTTCTCGCTTTATCGCTTCTCTCTCTCTCTCTCTCTCTCTCTCGCTCTCGCTCTCGCTCTCGCTCTCGCTCTCTCACTCCGCCTCTCGCCTTCCTCTCCCTCTTTCTCCGTTCCCGGTGTTTTTTCTGTTTCGCGAGTTGTTGAGGTCAGAGCCGCGATCATGCCTCACCTTCCTTCCCGTTCTTCGGCGTCGGGCATTCATTGGCCTCGCCTTCGCGGATCTCGAGGTTACGGCGTTCCCCTGCGAAGCCGTAACAAGCGATAACTCCGACCTTCTCCGATAACGCTCCGGTTCTCACTG